CCCAGATCTTAGCTGGAGACTATTTTCAAGCCCAGAATTCACAAGTGAAAGAACCATGAGCTGACCTAGCATTGATCTGACCTCAGTGGACACTAAGAGTCCTGCAGCAGTAGATCAAATTAGGGCCAGGCCCTGGATGCAGCCTCCTCCCAAGAAAAGGACAGGTTCTCTGAACCAGAAACCAGACCCTTCCCTTCAAAAACCACAAGCCCCAACCTCACTGAGTCCTAACCTTGCTTCACAACATCCTGCTAGTTTACCTCATGACCCCCAAACACTTCAAAACCTGCTTTTCATACAAAGGTGGGTTGGGTCCAATTCTAAGACACTAGCACCATTTGCTCCTTAAAGGATCTCTTTCCTCCGTATCAGACGGGTCCAACTGCACCATCACCCTCTGGCTCATTCCTCAGAGGTCCAGTGGAAACTTTTCTCAGCTCCTTCAGTCTCACAGATTTCCCTCTTTCAAAGCTCCTATATGCCCAACCATCGAGCCCTGGTGGTGCAGTGGTTAAGCATTGGGCTGCTAACTGCAAGGTCGATGGTTCAAACCTGCCAGCCACTCTGCAGGAGAAAGATGAGGCTATCTGCTCCCATAAAGATTTCTAGTCTCGGAAACCCTAAGGAACTGTTCTACTCTGTCCTACAGGGTCACTGTGAGTTGGAATCGACTCAATGGCAATGTGGGAGACATGCCCTACCACACTTCTTAACCCTAGGCCAAAAGTCCCAGAACTTTCTTAGAGGATGCAAATATTATTCTATGATATCCAATTTGGTAGCTACATGTAGCTACTCAACACTTGAAATGTGGCTAGCAACTGAATTTTTTATTTAATACCTTAATTAATTTAAATGGACATAGCCACATGTGACTACTGCCCTCCGATTGGACAATGTAACCCTAGACAGACTATAGTTGTTACTTTCCACCTTCTCCAACAGGTCTCTCGGCTGCTCCCGTCTCCCGCCCAAGTTTTATAGACCACTTTATGTATCTACACAACTAAGCATATAGTATGTGCCCAGTAACTGGTTAACTATTTGTAACCATGAATAGATTAAGAGTCTAGTTTGGGCAAAGAATCTTTCCTAACCTTGTGATTACATCCAGGGTGCCAGCAGATGACACCTTGGGATCCTTTCCCTAGGAAGCCATATTCACTGTTGTGCTCTGTGCCAGGTACACAGAATGAAGTGTGCTCGGTAGGGCTGGTAGACTGTAAGGAATTAGGAGCTCTGGCATTTCTTTATACTAGCAATATTATCCCCTCTCCCAGTGTACAGGCCAATCATGAGTGATTCCAATCATCGCCTCTTCATGGCACCAAAGGAATCCACATCACAGTAGATCTTAGGAACCTGGGAAGGGAGGATGGCTAGAGAAAGGAGAGATGGGAGAAGTAACCATGGAACCTTGTTTTCTCTAATCCACATAATGGAAAGATAAACAGAGATAAGTTATGGCAACATTCTATATTTTGTACAGCAATAACATGCTTCACCTAATCAACGTTGCACCGCAGAGAGCAACAACAGTGCTGAGTTTAATTAAATTTGTTCAGCTATTACCTAAGAGTTACCATGACACAGTGAAGGAGGAAGCAGTTAAGAAACCCCATGAGGAATATAACCAACTAATACACAAGAGGGTTGAGACTCAGTGTCCCCACCAAGGTAACAAATAAGATTTCTATCAAACACTCCCTAAAAGTTTCAGAGTGAAAGGTCAGCTTGTTACAATAGATCCAAAATGCATAGTTACTGTGTTGGTTTATAAACTCCTCTCCAACTTCAGGGACTACTGCTGGTGACACCCCCTTGCCAACAGTCACAGTAGGACCTGCAGTGAGGGAAGAGTTTCTTGGGCTTGAAGAGTTCTGAGAGCAGCAGCCAGTTCCATGTCCCAGCTGCCGACATGACTGTGGAAAGAAGCTTGAGACTGGAAGACAAGCATCCCTGGCTCTACTCCAGACTCTGTCAAGTGAATGGCTGTGTTACACCAAGCAAGTCACTCCCTTGCTCTGGGCCTTGCTTTTCTCATCTTCAAAATGAGGGGGCTGAATAAGATGACCTCTAAAGTCCCTTCCGACTCTTGACTGGAAATTTGCGTATGACTCAGAACTTAACAAAAGCAACCAGGAGAGATGGGGAGATGATGTCACAGCACCCACCAGAAGCATTCAAATGTTTTATCTCTGAGGTAGAGGCAGAGAAGCAGCAGGGCAAGTTGGAACAATTTCTTTAAGCACTGATTGCACCTAACAGGGCCAAGAGGTCACCAGACCACAGACAGAGCACAGGACATACGGGCAGCCACCACCTCTCATCAACTCCCAGAACTGTGAAATAGCCAAATTCAGAAACCCCATCAGAGGTCCTCTTTCCTAAATCCCTAGGAATGACCAACCCCCAGAAAGGAGTCAAGGTCTCCTCCCTTTTTCTTCAGGCACTTTTTGTACGGAGCAATCCCTCCTACCCACATCTTCCTCCCTTGGTTTATAATCAAAAGACTCTTAGTTTTGAAAATCATTTCACTATTCAGCACCTAAAGTTAAGCCAATCAAAAAATCAAGATCTAGAAGTCACTTTGGTGTCAGTCTCTGGAACAGGATTGTTGGAACCAGATTCCCCCCACAGTAGTAATTATGTCTTAACCAATATTTGGATATGGAAGGGCTGTTGACACTGCTGTCATTCTCCTTATGCCTCATTCCTTCTTTTTTCCTCTTTTGTTAAGCTTTTACACAAAGATGTGTGGGAAATCTACAATTTAACAGTTGAGTCAACTTGTAAGATCTGGGAGCAGGCTGCCTGTCAAAACATTCTCTGACTTCAATCTTCACCCATTTATCATGAAATCCACTAGACTATGCCTGCTATTTAAAACACTTAATTTTTTTTTTTTATTTCAAAGGCGAAAAACTCCAACTCTCTCTGTACTAATTACAACAGAACTTGAATTTACAACTAAAAGCATAAGACAGTAATTTCATGTGTGTGTCTACTGCATAAATAAAAAGTTGAGAGCTTTTGTTCAGAAGTCTTTATACATCATTCTCCCCCATCCAAGAGAATGAACAGCCAGTGTCCCCAAACTGCTGATGGATGGCGGCAGATGGCATCTCAGAGAGGATAGAAAACTCTCCTGGAAAGAACGTCTGTCACTTCCTCAATGTACAGGTTAACTGTGGTCAAATTGTATTAGCTCAACTCTACTCCCCAAGGTCAAAGCTACAGACAATTCAAACATTCCCTCTCCCCACCCCTTTCCTAGTTATGAGTATGGAAAGAAGGGCCTAAAGCATAAATATTAAAGTTTCCAAGATGCAAATCTATTCTCTCAACAACACTCAACACTAGAAAACATCCAAAAACCCAGAGCAACAGCTTATAGCAAAAACAAAGAAATATGAGCGGATGAAAGCTCTCCCCCAAAAGGGAAAAATGAAAGCAGTAAGAAAATTACTGAGACTTAAAAATCTGGGAACTGCACATGCTTGCCCTCTACAACCCTAAGTACCAGGCTCTTATTATTTCTGATTATATATTCCAACAATCCACCCTTAACTCACACCTGAGTCTTCTATTAAACAGCTGAAATACACTAGCTGTGAAGTTTGAGGGAGAAGAGAAAATTATAACACAGGAAGTATTTTTTCTCCTCCTCCAATCATTCACACACACCAGGGGAAACAGACCCGTGTCACCTTTAGAGATGTGGTTTAACCTGACACCCCTCTGAGAGGAAAACCTACTTCCTGGTGACCCTTGAATTACTGCTTCACACTGCTTGGCGGCCCACCCCATCTCATCAGACCTCTAAGCCCATTCTGTTTAACTTCTGAAACAAAGTATTCTTCCCTTACTATGGTGGTGGTTATGTGCTGTGAAGTCGATTCCAACTCATAGCGACCCAGTACAGGGTTTCCGAGGCTGTAAATCTTTACCGGAGCAGAACACCTCATCGTTCTCCCGCGGAGCAGCTGGTAGTTTCGAACTGCAGACCTTAAAGTTCGCAGCCCAATTCGTAACCACTAAGCTACCATAGCTCCTTTCCCTTACTATGCCCCCTCAAAAAAGAAAGAACGAAAGAAAAGTTGGGTTTCCCCAGCTCTGTCCTACTGTCGATCATTGTCCATCTATCTCCAGGACCAAAGCTGCCACCTCCGATGTGCAGAATCAGCACGTGGTCCTAGTCAAGGTTTACAGACTCGGTTTAGAAAGCTCAATGGAGCTATGGAAACAGAAGAGACCGCGCTGGAGCCTGCTGGCCTCCCATCTGGAGTGGCACAGACACTGGAAGTAGGAGGGGGCCTACTCTAAGATCAAAACAATCCCTCCCCTGCTCCGGGGGGGGGGGGGCGCCCCCGCGGAATCTCCAGCCTCTCACCTCACCCCACTGCGCGTCCCCAGACGGCACGGCCGGGCTCGCTAGCCGAGGCTCAGGGAAGTGAAATCACACATTCCGGCTCCCAAATAAGGAGGTAGGCTAAATAAACCTCTGAGATCCGACTTCTCCAAACCAACCGACCAACCAGCTCAATGAGTAATGGGCCTCTTGTGCCCACAAAAGAGAGGAAAGAAGGAGGAGAAGTTGGGGAACCACAGCCCACCCCCCAAATCACTTCCTTGAGACAGGGTTAAAGCAGAAGTGGTCCCAAAGCCAACCGTCCCGATTCGGCTGGATCCCGCTCCAACCACAACATGGTAGAGTCCTCTCGAGTGCCCGAGGTGACCGGAAACCCGGTCTGGGCGGCGTGGTCAACTCGGACCTGACCTTCTCGGCTCCTCTCCGCACAGCCGCGCAATGGGCACCCCCCCGCCCCCGGGCGCCCCGGCAGCTCAGCTGAAGCCACTCCTCTCGCCGGCGCCCCCTCCGAGGGCCGGTCAGCGGATCCAGTTAAAGCAACTATTAACCCGACCGGTTCAGGGTGATAGGGGTCGTTCTCCGGAGCCCCCTTCTCTTTTCCCGCCCCTCCCCTGGGCCCTAAACCTACTTTTAGGGCGAATTTTTCCTGGGTCCTCTTGTTGAAAATTTGCAAAACATTCCCGTTGATGCCCAGTCCCAGGACCTGGGTGGTGACCTTGTAGTCGTCGGTGATGGCGTTCTTCTTAATCTGCAGGGTAGACTTGACGTGGAACTGGGGGAACTGCTGCGGGGGCTGCGGCGGCGGCGGTGCTGGGGGGTGCGGCTGCGCTGGGGCGGGGGGCTGCGGCGGCGGCGGCGGCGGCGGGTTGGGAAACAGCACCGGAGGAGTCTGGCCTTGGGAGTTGGACAGCATGGTGCCGGGAGGCGCGGGCGCCGGAGCGGGAGGGCCCGCGGACGCCCCCTCCTCCGGCTCCGGACGGGGTCCCCGCCACCCCCCGCCCGGCTGGGAAGTTTGCTCCGGGCTGGAGCCGGCTTCGCCACCCCGGCTCGGCTCCAGGCTCGGCGGGTCGCGGGGCTCCGTGGGTCCCGCCGTCTGCCGCTGGCGCCCACCGGCCCTCGTCCCTCCCCCCGGGGGCCTGGCGCTCGGTGGAACGCGGGACGGCGGGGGCCCGGCCCGGGGGGGGGGGTAGGGGGGCGGAGAAGCGGCCGTGCGACAATGTACCCAACCCGGGGCCCGCGGCAGCGTCACAGCCTCGTCTGCGTCCGGGGCTGGCCCTTAAAGGGGAGGGTCGAGAGGGCGGGGCCTGGGAGAGACGGGGCGGAGCCGGGGAGGTGTGGGTGTCTTAAAGGGAAGGACGCGAGGCGCCTGAAGAGAGCTGGGGCGCAGTTCGGAGCTCTGGGGTTGTGAGAAAGGAAGGACAGATCCTAGGTCTTCCCCAGGATCTCACAAAGGGAAGTTAGCGGTGAATGATAGTAGCTACATAATTCAGTTCGAAAATCCACTCTTCTCCAATTACCTGGATCTTTTAAAACAGTGGCAACGAATTGGAGGGAGGCAGTGGCAAGTTCATGCGGTAAATAAGGCTCAGGAGTTTGTTGCAATTACTGATGCCATTGCTCCTAGAAACAAACGTGGTACAAATACTGGAAGGTTTCTTAAGTGAACATTTTCCTCTGAGTTTTGCATTTCTTTTTCATAAGTATTGTTTTTAAATAAAGACAGATATGTGAACAATTTACGAAACGAAACCTGGGAACCGTTTCTCATGTGAATAAATTTACAAGAATATTGGATGGCAAGAGGCTGGTAGAGATCCAGATCGCCTGAAACCTAGCAAGTCTTTACCGCTGCAGGGTTGCTTGCAAATACAGAGAAAGACAGACTTTGCATCTGTTTAGAGGTTACTAGTACGGCTGCTAACTTCAAGGTCAGTAGTTCGAAACTACCAACCTCTGGTAGTTTTTTCCGCGGGAGAAAGATGAGGCTTTATGCTTCTGTTAAGATTTACAGCCTCGGAAACCCTATACAGGGTCTCTCTAAATTGAACGGACTCCACGGTACATAATCACCACCACCACCATCTCAGTGGAATTAGTAACACCTTTCTCACAGGGTTGCCTGAGTATCAGATAAGACGATGTAGAAACTAGACCTCTGGGGAATGGGTTCTGACTTCCATAGTTTAAAAGTATGTTCCTGAATCTATAGCCATACGGAGAGGTAGGCGTTTTTTGAAGCCTGGTTTTCTAGCCCAAGTTAGCCCCATGTTTTCTGAAAAAGATGTCAAGGAGCTAGGTGGGAGGCCCTTAATATAGCTGCCAGTAGGCCTCTATATCCATTCTGGTGGGGCTGTGGGATGCTTGTCAATTTCATACCCGCTTACCTCCTCCGGTCTCACTTGAGAAAGTAAGTTGAAAAGAAACAACCCGTGTCAGGCAGACTCAACCCAGGCAAAAAAAGAGAGGATAATATCCTGAGGACTTGGCTTTTGAGGAGCCAGCCAGGAGAGGAGAGGAAGTAGCAAGTGCTTCTCCTTCATTTGCTTTTAGCCATCCCTGGAGAGGTGGGTTCAAGCGTGGTAACAATTGTGAGGTTGGCCCAAGATCAGGCAGTGTTTTGTTCTGTTGTGCACAGGGTCACTATGAGTGGGTACCAACTTGATGGCACCTAACAACAATACCCTGAAGTGGGAGGGCTTGCCCTACAAACCCAGGAGAATATTCATTCCTTTCAAGCAGCATTTATTTAGTGCTGACTGTATACACAGTGCAGTGTGGTAGTGAGTGGTGTTAACAGTTTTGAGGAGGAGACACAGACATATACAAGACATCCCTAGAGAGGAGCAGACAGAGCCCTGGGAGTGAAGGAAGAGAGGGATTCACTTCTGTCTGGAGTAAGTGGGAGCTTCCTCAGGAGCTATAAGGATGGATACAATTAGACAGCTACCCTGAGCTGCCTCTCTTTCTTTTTTTTTTTTTTTTAAGTTTTTATTGTGAATTATGTGGATTTACATGGGAGAACATTAGTTTTACATTCATCCTATCGTATTTTGTTTCATTGCAATGATCACAATCCCCTCCCATGCTTCATCAAATAACCAAAGGATATACCCCACAGGCCCATCCCCATCCTCCAGGCCTTTAGCACACAGCCCCTCATCCCCAGCCTCTCCATCCGTCCACGTTACTCTCTCAGCTCTTCTCACTTGATGGTCCCAAGGACCTCCACTCCTGGGCTGCAAAATCAATCACTCCCCTCTTTTTGTCAAAAAACATCAACCACTACATTTCTGACCCTCACAGTCCTGATGGCAATTATTCACTATTGTACCACAAGAGTCTTATCCCCATTTCCTTTAGCCAGCCTGGTCCCAAGAGATTGGAAGTCATTCAGTGGAGATTCTACCTTCCCCCATCCCATCTGGAACTAGGCTCCCTCTTGAAAGCTTGTAAGCCAGTCACTTCTTGCCTTTACAGGCCCTCCCCATTTTGGGTAGCCAATGTCTAAGTTGTCCATCCCTGTCAACCTTGTGTACCGAGGGGGTGGGAGTGATCCTTGATGTATAGATTTGTTCCCTTTTATAAGCTACTACATCCATACACACATCGGTAAAATTCATCAAATTGTAGTGGGTTACTCTTTTTTTTTTTTTTTTCTTCCCTCTTCTTTCTTCTTCTAATGGAGTTCTGATCATCCAGCCATCAAAGCCAGGTCAAGTGGGTGGTATCTGCAAGTATGGGTGTTCTTGTGCATCTTCCCTCACTTCATATCAGCTGGATGCTTCACTCTCTGCTCTAGTCCTCTGTAGCCATGTCACTGTCTCTGGGCCCAGGAGTCCCCGGGTCATGTCGTAACTGCTGGCCATCCAGGTCTCCGCCTGGGTTCACAGGAGTCTGTTGAATGTGGTCAGACTTAGATCCCAACTTCATTACTGTTTTTTTCCCCCTCTTCCTCTTCTCAGTGGCAACGTGGTCACCAGCCAGACCACATGCCTGCTCCTGTATTCCCCTTGTGTCTTAGTCTTGGAAGAGAATTTGCTCTGAGGGGACCAGACCACTAGCCTTGATGGCTCCTAGGCTGAGCTGCCTATCTCTTCAAAGACACACAGGCTACCTAAAGCCACAGGGGTTGGAAAACACTCCACCTCCCCAATTCTAATGCATTGCTATCACCTTCCTTGGGCAGGCTTGGTAGTTCTCCTAAAGGCTTAGGGTCACAAAGTTGTTATTAAGTGCCTTCGAGTCTATGAGTCTATTGTAGATACCCCGTATAGGGTTTCTGAGGAGTGGCTGGTAAGCTTGAACCGCCAACTTTGCGCTGCAAAGCCACTTTGCAATCCAGGGTATTATCACACATCACCACACCAAGGTCACCAAGAAGGTGAAGTACCTCTTCTCAGGAAACAGTGTCGCTGGTCCAGGAGAGTTGGGCAAGTTGGGGGTCTGTTCAGAACTCTGAATTGACCTTTTTATCTCTGTCGAGGAATGGAGGGGAAACATGGGGCTTCCTATATCTTGGCAGTGCACGTGCCCTCCTCCCAGCTCTCAGATGAGGCTAGAAAGAGGAAAGCCCCTCTTGGAAAGGTAGAGTGGAAAGAAAAGAGAACTTAAAAATAAGTCTGTCCTCTAGCCGAGTTATCTTCAACAAGCTATTTAATCTCTCTGTGTATATGGAAAATAACAAACTCTGCTTTCAGGACCCACTGAAAAGCCAATGAGATGTGCACATGAGAACTCTTCATAAACTATAAATGATCATGAAGTGGTAAATATCCTTTGTTGGACATTCTTGGCTTGCTCACCTGTGCTGAACTCACTGCCTAGGGATCTGTCCCTGATACCAAAGCTGCCTTCCTATGTAGCTGGGGCCCTGGGGAGGTGCTAAAGCCAGATGACCTAGGAATAGCAAGACAACTGAAACCCCAACAGGGAGTCCTTGCAGGAGTAGGGAAGTAATGCAAATGAGACCTAATTAGGCAGATTAGGCCTAGGGGGCACACAGGATTCTGAGGTCACATGCAGAATGCAGAGATCATATAAACTGCAGGGGCAGCACCCAGAAAACAGAAACACATATGAGCACAAACATATAAATAAGCAGAAATGCCAAGCAGAAATCCAAAACCCATTGCCCTTCAGTCAGTATTAACTCATGGCGACCCTCTGTATTACAGACAGAATAGAACGGCTCCATAGAATTATCTTTACAGACACATATTGCCAGGCCTATTTTCCACAGTACTGCTGCTTTTGTCTTTGTCTGACCCATTGCAAATCTGTATAAGGTTTCCAAGGAGCAACAGGTGGGTTTGAACCTCTGACCTTGTGGCTCACAGTCAAACATTTATCCTACAGTGCCATACCTGGACTCTACAGTACTGCTGGGTGGGTTCAAATGATCAACCTTTAATTAGTGTTGCTGTTGTTAAGTGCCTATGAGTTGGTTCCGATACATAACGATCCTGTTTAGGGTTCCCGAGGAGTGGTTGGTGAGCTTGAATCGCCGACCTTGAGGTTCAAATCAACTTTGCAGTCCAGCACATTAACCCACAATGCCACATCAGGTCAATCACAGATGGTTTGCACCATGCAGGAACATCTACCAGAATAAATGCCTAGATGAGGAGCCCAGCTAGACTAAAGGAAAAAGCACTAGGTAAAGAAACGAGTGTCTTACGTTCCACTGTGGTACTGACTAGCTGTGTGACCTCAAGAAAGTGCTTTACCCACTCAGTGCCTTCTTCTTCATTCATAAAATAGTGATAATAATACCTGTCCTGCCTACCTTAGAGGATTATTGTAAGGATAAAATAGTTTACCATAGGGCACATAGAAAACCAAGGTCCTATTTGTGTAATAGCAAGCATTCAGCCAGTTGTAATGAGCTACTTAATGAATAGTTTTTATGAATGT